AGAAGGAGGAGGAAGATCTGGTTTTTCTTTGCTGATTGAGACCTGCTGTTTTGTAAAGTGATGACTTAAGGAGACCGCCATATTTCCAACAAACAGTGTGGGAAAGTACCCCCATCCTGCCTGGCCGAGGTACACGCCGTCTCTATCATCACCGCCACAGCTGCCCGGGAGGAACACTCTTTCTGAATCAGCACAGACACAAAGAGCTGCCAGTTCTTCGTGCTGTCTCCTGTGTGCATAAAATTGTCCCATCTCCATCTACAAGTTCTTTTACTATCTTTGTTTATTTGGATTTCTTTATTGTTTTTTACTGGAACAGTTGTAATGGCTGTCTTAGATTTTATGCTGTTTTAATAATCTAAGGAACAAAGCAAATAGGACTTCAAATTGCTGGAAAATATAATGTTTTGAGTCCACACACACACATATATATATATATATATATATATATATATTTCTTTTTTCTTGTTTTTTTGTAAAAATTTCCAGGAGTGCATGCCCCCTAACCCTTCCTCACATTGCCAATGTTCTTGAAAACATAAAGGTACCGTGTCTCTGACTGCCTTCAACAATTGTTGGCAGGTACGGTACTTTGTCTAGTACTTTAAATTTCAATTAAAAACTTGTGTTACAAAGATGGTGGACTGATTTGCCATTTCTTTGTGAATGCTCTTTAAATGTAAGCCATACCTAATCATACACTGAATAATGTTTAATGTGATCTTCTAAAAACTCTAAACAGAGTAAATATATGGTGTGAGTTATAATGTTCTGTCAGCTCTGTTCAGGGATTGTGGTTGGAGTAATTTATGTGTAACCAACTCCAAACTGACATGTTGCAAGCTTTAAAGAAAACCTGTGCACAAATGAAATCCTGCCTGGAGTATAACTACCATAAAAACGTTAGTTTCTCCATACCATTAGAACAGAAAATCTGATGTAATGGGACATTTTCAACTAATATATATTAAAAATAAGAGCAACAAAGGGCCTTATTTATTTATTTATTGCATTTTTTTTACAATGACTACAAGGGGTGCCTGTAAGTCAAATCACTGATGAAATATCAGAATTGTCCAGATGCACTTCAACTGTATTAGACTACTTTTAAACTAAAATTACCAGAAGAGTACGTCTACAGTAAGTCTGAATATTGAGCTGTGTTGTTAGGGCCTGTAAAGTTAAATATTTGAGGTAATTTCCCTGAAAACTGCAACAATGTTGCATATTTTCTTTTAAACATCAATTACTTTAATAATACTCTCATCATAACTGAAATGGGATTCAAATTTCATGGTGATCTTTTTACATATTTGAGCTTGAATTTCACCTTCTATGGAATTAGATTTTTTTGTTTCTACAGATTAAGAAATGCCATAAACCTAATTTTCTCAAAACCTTAAAATGTATGTGGCCATGTCAAAAACCTAGATCTACAAGTTGGACCTAATCAAATCAATAAAGAAAGAGTCAGAGAGTCAGTCAGAGTCAGAGTTTCTATATTGTCATTCCACCACATGTACCACATTATGAGAGATTATGTACTCAGGGTCCCAGTTACATCCAGCAATAAAATGTAAAAGAAAAACAGCAATAAGATCCAAGATATTAACCAAGAAAAACATTAACAAAAATACACTAAGCACTAATAGCATAAAAACAATATACAGAACAGCAGCATGAACATCAGAGTCAGAGAGATTTATTTGTCATTCACATCTCATGTGGTGGAACGAAACTATGTACGCAGGATCCCAGTTACATCCAACAATAAAATGCAAAAAAAAACCAGTAATAAGATCTAAGATATGAACTAAGACAAACATCAGCTATCAGAACATGAGTCTGTGTCAGCAGATGAGTACGCATGAATACAGCAACATGAAACAGATCAGCAGCAACATGAAACAGATCAGCAGCAACATGATGTGATTTTTTTCACAGTGATTATTCTGGTTAGAGATTCATGAGTCTATTCATGAGTTTTATTATTATTAATGTATTGTTTATATATATATAATTATTATTTTTTTTAATTCTCTTTAATTTACTCATTGATTGTTGTTGTTGTTAAGCACTTTGATAACAGGTTCTGTTTTAAATGTGCTCTATAAATAAAGTTGACTTGACTTGACTGACAGCTTCAGGGTAGAAGCTGTTCCTCAGTCTAGTGGTTCTACACTTAATGCCCCTCAACCTCCTTCCTGAGGGGAGTGGGGCAAAAAGTGTGTGTGCTGGGTGAGTGGGGTCCTTCATGATGCAGGTGGCTCTCTTCCTGCATCTGGAGGTGTAGACGTCTGTGATGGTGGGGAGGCTGACTCCAACATCTTCTGTGCAGCCTTCACCATTCTCTGCAAAGCTTTTCTTTCTGTAGCTGTGCAGCCTCCATGCTTCACGTTGATGTTGGAGCACAAGATGCTCTCCACTGCACACCTGTAGAAGGAGATGAGGACTGAGCTTCCCAGACCAGTTCGCCTCAGCTGCCTGAGGAAGTAGAGTCTCTGATGGGCTTTCTTTATCAGGCTGGTGGTGTTGTTGCTCCAGCTGAGGTTGTCATTCAGGTGCACACCCAAGTACTTGTAGCACCACTTCCACCGCAGATCCTCCTATGTCCGGGGGGGGGGGGGGGGGGGGGGGCGGGGGGGGTTTGGGACGGGGGGGGGTACTTGCGTTTGTTCCTTCTGAAGTTCACGGCCATTGTCTTCTTAATGATGTGAAAGTTATTCTCCTTGCACCAGCTCTCCAGGTTTTTCACCTCCTGTGTTGTGTGTGATGCATCCCACCGCCACTGTATCATCTGCAAACTTTACAATGTGACAGCCTCGATGGGTAGCTGCACAATCATACATGAGCAGAGTGAACAGGAGATGGCTCAGCACACAGCCCTGAGGAGAGCCAGTGCTGAGGATTATGGTGGAGGAAGAGAAGTTGTGGATCCTCACGAAGAGAGCAAGAGCAAACAGAACTGGTCAGGCTTGTGTTGGTAGTGTACCAGTACTCAAAGTGATTAAAAGAGCCTTCTCGTACATGACGTTAAGCAAATAATTCCATCCATCCATCCATCCATCCATCCATCCATCCATCCATCCATCCATCCATCACCCTTACCCACTTCTTCCTTTTTGGACTGCTGGAGTCACTGGTGCCCATACCCAGCAATCACTGTGTGAGAAGTGGGGTCACCCTGGACAGGTCTCCAGTCCATCACAGGAACACAGAGACAAATGAGACAAACAACCATTCATTCTCTCACTCACACCTAGGGACAATTTAGAGTTACCAATCAGCCTAACATGTAGCACCATGTTTTTGGTCTGTGGGAGGAAACTGGAGTACCCGGAGAAAACTTACATATGCACAGAGAGAACATGCCAACCACCCAGAAAGGTCCCCAGCCAGGATTTGATCCAGCAACCTTCTTGCTGACAGGCATCAGCTCTGCCAACTGAGTCACCGTGCTGCCCTCGAGCAAATAATAATTTATACAAAATTATATAATTGAGGTTATTAATGTCTGAAATTGAAAAACACATTTATGTGAATATAACTTGTTTGTAATTTTTTCAGGTTATAGATGTAAATTCTGTATATTTGACATGATTGAAATAAATAGACTAAGTGCTAATGAAGAAGCAGATATTCTGGGAATTTTGCACCTCTACATGCCTAACACCATCTTCCTGCATCTAAATTAAGGGAAGTTTGCACAAGCTATGAAAACACGTCTGGATAGTAGTGAATTTGGAGAACCCTTTAGACCATGTCAGAATGCAGCTACAAGCTAACAGAGTACACCACCTGAGCACAAATGTACTTTGCCACAGGCATCAAGCCTGCACTGGGTTGCTTCAATGACTTTGACCAGATCAGAGTCATAGCAAGGCATGAACCCATCCAGCTTCAAATTCTTGATGAGCAAGATCCATGTCTGCAGGTCCCAATCATGAATAATATATATTGAATCAGCATGTTTTTCCATTTTTTTTTTTCATTTTCCATTGTTTTGTTGGCACTGTAAAGAAGGATGGAAATGTTCAAGACAAGCACTTTCATTCATTTTGGTCTTTCATTGGATATTTTGTAAAAACACACTGAACCAACTTCTATATTTCAGAACAAATCTACATCAGTATTCTTACTGTGTAATTTATGTGTCATGACTGATTATAGGTGTGTGGATGCACATTGAACACCACCAAATACATCTCTGAGATGTCAGCTGTGAAACTGTGTACTTAATCAAATGTTGCCCACACACAGTTTGAATGCTTTCAGATATCTAGAACATGAAGCTGTTTTATTTATTGTCGATAAAATGTAAAGCCCAACCTGCAGTGACTCAACAACCTGTTCTTGTTTATGTGTGTAATTTTTCTCTTCTTTATTCCTCATTCTCTCCTCTCTTTTTTATAGTGTGCCCTGGACCAATCCGAGGTCCAATTGTTCAGCGAGCTCTCTAATCCAGCCTCAGATTTGAGTTGGGATGCACAGTGCCTAATAGGATTGTAGTCTTAACCCCGAGGACAATACCACCAGCTGTCGCAGAGCCCTCTGTTGGCTGCCAGCAGAAATGTGCCTGAGGCAGAGGGGGAGTAGAGGGTGGAGTGGGTTGACTGTCAGAGAAGCGGGTAGATACAGGATTACTGTGTGGCTATGTGATGCTTTTAGTTTGATGTGAAATTACTGAGGACGCAGCTCGGAGGAGACAATCCTGTAACGCTTAATTTTGGACCGCTACCTTGTTGATTCAGCTTTTAACCTTCCTTCATCATCAAACAACTTTTCTTTATTTTTTATATTTTTTAGTTTGTTTCTGTCTCACAAGATCCCCTTCTCCCTAATCAATCTGCATCCAACTACTTTCCCCACTTCCTCCACTGTGGTGGCAGGTGTCGCTTCTGTGCTGGCTCTATGTGGCTGAATAAGTGGTGAAAGAAGGGGTTGCTTTGGGGGGGTTTGAGAAGTTAAAAGTCAGAACCAGGACAAACAGGTGGAGGAGGATGGCGCTGGCACTGGAGGAAGTGTGGGGCAGAGTAAAGAACGTCTGCAAGCAGAACGGACTGCTCATCCTGTCGGTGCTGGCCGTGGTCATCGGCTGCCTGTTGGGCTTCTTCCTGAGAGGCAAGCAGCTCTCCGAGCAGGTCAGTTGGTGACAGTATTGGTTGTGACTCAGAATCAACCTTGTCCTATCAAAACTCCCCCTCCTGCCATTCTGCCTTATCCCCCCATCCACCACCCCAAATTGTCCACGGTGATTCCATTTTCAACTTAAATGCCAGAATAGATTCAAATAGAACTCCTGTTCAATGTATAAATCTTTGTTCCTTCTTCAGGAGGAACGCTCCATCATTTTCCTGACATAAATACACAGAAAACATGAACTAATTTTGTGAGTTACTTACTCACGAAGTGGGATTTTACTCAAAGGACTTAAAGTTCTTATGTTTCAATCTTTATTCATTATGTGATGTTATACAGCTTGTTTTATACACTCAGTATTTGCCAGATTTAAATGATTAGACAGACACACACATACACATGCACACACACAAGGGGACATTTTTTGCTCATGACAAAAAGCACATTTTAGGTCTTATTTACATTACTGCTAGTATTTTTCTTGGAAATCATCCATGCATCCATTATCTTTACCCGCTTATTGCATTTTGGGTCACGGGGGTCGCTGGTGCCCATGTCCAGCAATCACTGTGCGAGGGGTGGGGTACACCCTGGACAGGTTGCAAGTCCATCACAGGGACACAAATAGACAAACGAGACAAACAACCATTCACTCTCTCACTCACACCTAGAGACAATTTAGAGTTACCAATCAGCCTAACATGCATGTTTTTGGTCTGTGGGAGGAAACCGGAGTACCCGGAGAAAACCCACGCATGCACGGAGAGGACATGCAAACTCCAGAAAGGCCCCTGGACCGGGGTTTGAACCAAGGACCTGCTCGCTGAGAGGCAGCAGCTCTACCAGTTGCGCCACCGTGCTGCCCTTCTTGTAAATCATTTATTTTCTAATTCGTTAAAATGTTTTTTGTCCACATGCTTCAATATAAAACACTGAAATGCCCATGCAGTGCCACTAAGTGGTGATAACATCCACAATAATAGGACGAAACATGCTTAATCTGGTTAACAAATTTACCTAAACTTTATTTGTTTAATGCTTTGATACTGTTTACAATTTTTTTTAGTCACAAACTATTTTATCACACCAATAAAAAGTGATAGTGACAGGGCCAGGATAAATGCAGACATTTGTAAAGAAAATGGATAGATAACAACTTTATTGCTGTTTTGGCCATGGTCAGTCAAACAAGGCTGGACTCTGTCTATCAGGGAGTGAGGTGCTGCCTGAAGTGGAAGAATTGAGGTATCTCTGGGTTTTGTTTGCAAGTGAGACAAGAAGGGAGCGTGAGATTGACTGAAAGATTGGCACAACTTTGGCAGTACTGTGTACTCTGTTCTGGTCTGTTGTGGCTGCAAGGCGAAGTTCCCTTGTTTACTGGTCGGTCTACGTTCCTACCCTCATATATATATATATATATATATATATAAATATATATTTTCCATTTTCCCTTTATTTATCCAGGTATTCTCATTGAGCCACGAGAACTCATTTTCAAGAGAGACCTGTTTAGGGAGCAGATGGGGGTTAAGGACCTTGCTCATGGGCCCAGAGTGGGGCGAATGAGGGTGGGGGCAAGTGTGGGTGCTTCACCTACCCAACCCACATTTTTGATGTTGTCGGTAACGGGGCGTGAACTGGCGATCTTCCGATCACAGGCCACCTTCACTAACCTCTGCGCCACCACTCCTCTGGGTATTGATTGAACGAATGAGAATATGAATACAAGTGGTCAAAATATTTTTTTCCGCATGGTACGTAGACTCTTCCTTAAATATGTAGGACAAAAGGTTCAGGTATACGGGAGCAACTCGGAGTAGAGCCATTGCTCCTCCACATCAAAGGGAGCAAAATGAGGAAGTTTGAGCATCTGATAAGGATGCCCCTGGACAACTCATCCAGGAGCATCAAGTGGAGGCTTGTCCAAATGGGAAAAGACTTCAGGGAAGACCCAGAACAAGCTGGAGAGACTGACTCTCATCTGGACTGGGAACAACTTGGGAGTCCTCCCAGAAGAGCTATAAGAGGTGAGTGCACAAAGAGATGTCTGGTCCTCCATGGTAAAACTGCTCCCCTGCAGCCCAACTCTGGAACAAGTGGAAGATAACACACAACTTCATTGTTATTGTTTACAGTGACCATCCGTACACATGTGCACTGGATGTGGCAAAAGCCTTTCCGATCGGTGTTTTCTCTACATAGTTCGATGACCGTAACCCAAAGTTGGCGACAACAAACGTTTTGTAAAACTGCATACATGTGTATGTAGTATGTTACGTTGTATGTTCTTAACAACTGTTTTCTAAAAGTGTTGCCTTGAGTACATGCAAGTTGATTTAACAAACTTGACAATATATCTACAATACTGTTCATTTTTTCAAGTACATGTATCTCTACTGTATGCTCTATGGGTATTTTTAGGTGTATTAATTTAACTCTGAGTACACATGCCTGTTTTATGTTGTTTCGGTGCCTGTTATGTTGAAGATTCTCTTTACAGAAAAATAAAGGCAGTTTTGTTTAATGTTTTCTTTTAGTTCAATCTGCATTGATATTCAAATTGTGTAAATACAACATAATATTCAAAACCTATGTATGTATGTAACAGCATCGCAGATTCAGCTGTATTTGAGCTGCATGGCAATACAAACTTCACTACTTAAATGAAATGACTAGCTTAAAAAAAACATGTTTTAGGAAATAAATCCTAGGAACATAAATAAATAGGCTTTGGAGAGAAAAACAAAAACGAAAAGTGTTGACAAAACGATACTTCATGGTGTACATCGGAACTTGAATCACGATATACATTTATCAAACAGCTTGATCTTTGTTGGTATACCATCAAGCACGACTTCACAGAACACAGTTTATTCAGGTAAAACGTAAGAATGCTGATTCCTTGAGGTACATTTTCTGCTTGAGATACCTACCAAAGGGAATCTGCAGCCTAGGCAAAAATAAATACATATGGACTTCTGTCACCTACATCCATCTCGTATACCAACAAAGATCAAGCTGTTTGATAAATGTATAT